TGGCTGTTTTTTTTTTTACAGTGGGGGGGTGGAGGAGAGATGGGGGTGTGTTTGAGAGGTGAGGGTGGTAGGACATGGAGGTGGGGTAGGACATAGACCATCTTTAAAGGATGCGTAGTCCTGGCGTGAGGCATAGAAGAGATGTACGAGTTGATGTAGGTCATGAGTCGTGTACGAGGAGGGTGGGGTGAGACAGCATGAGTCCTCTGAACATCGCATAAATCAAATTTGTGAAACTGTAATCAAATATTTTAGTGCTACGATATTTCATTTTTTAAATTAAAATACTCTAAAATACAAAAAAAAACCACCCCCAAAAAAAAAAAAAAAAAAAAAAAAAAAAAAAAAAAAAAAAAAAAAAAAAAAAAAACCCCCCCCCCCCCCCAAAAAAAAAAAAAAAAAAAAAAACACATAATCCCATTTAAAAGAATTTAACAAAGGGTCATTATGAGTTTTTAATTTTTAAAAAAAAATTTAAAAAACACTTCTAAAAGCTTTTTACTGATGTAGATACACAATAACTAGAAAGTGAAATCAAGTTCAGAGACATAGCATCAAATGGGTTGGTTTAAAGTGGTTAAACGAGTATAGTCGTCATTGTAATTTGTAATATACTGGTACTAATCCTTTAACTTCAAAGTTTGAACGGTCAACTTAGTTTAAGGGTAATAACTGCATAATTATAATACGGAGTTGACTCCCTTGGTTAATTTAAAAAAAAAATATATATATATATAAATTATATATATATGTATAATTAAAATCTCTTGAGTACTTCGCATAAGTGCTAATTTATAAACATTAAACTAATAGCACAAACTAATCTATACATTCGCCTTTCACTAGCGTAGGCGTAGGAATATGAGTGCAGGGGTGTAGCGAGGGTTAGTGCCACTCGGGTCCGGCCGATAATCTTTTTGCCCCCCCCCCCCGGTCCCCTAGTGGACCGGCGGACCTCCTCACCCCTTTTCCTACTTTGTCACTGTAATACTGGGAAGACTGCCTTCCCGTTTAAGCAATAAGGAAATCTACACAGTGTAGTGTAGAGAAAAACCTGAATTAAAATTTAATTTTTGTATTGACCTTTTTCATGTCTTTCTCTACCCTGTTAATAGCACAAACTAATCTATACATTCGCCTTTCACTAGCGTAGGCGTAGGAATATGAGTGCAGGGGTGTAGCGAGGGTTAGTGCCCCTCGGGTCCGGCCGATAATCTTTTTGCCCCCCCCCCCCCGGTCCCCTAGTGGACCGGCGGACCTCCTCACCCCTTTTCCTACTTTGTCACTGTAATACTGGGAAGACTGCCTTCACGTTTAAGCAATAAGGAAATCTACACAGTGTAGTGTAGAGAAAAACCTGAATTAAAATTTAATTTTTGTATTGACCTTTTTCATGTCTTTCTCTACCCTGTTAATGTTTCTAATTCATCACTAATTTAACTAACATTTTAAAGTTTTGGTTTTAAAAATAAATAAACGTTGCTTTTAAAAAAAACAAAAAACAACATTTAGCAGAGGAAATAACGTCGATATATTGGACCATTTATTATTGGAAACAATTATTTTATTTTTTGTGATTTCCCGGTGCTAAAGAGTGTCTAAATATCTTGTCGGCAGCTCATGTGCCCTTTAAGTAGGTTTTTCTGCTGTCGCCTGTCAAATTCTAAAACAAAAACTACCACTGCTGCTAAAGCACCGATAGGTAAATGCATGTGCTTAATAATTTTACTGTCAATGTTTACATAAATAAATTATTTCACTTTAATATTCGAATGGTATATTTTGCAAGAAAACCATAATTAGTCATATTAGACTTATGACTTATTAGATCTAATTATTATTAATTAGTATTAATAGTCAAACCGACTCGTATCCAAGTACCGAAGATACTAAGTAAAAAGTAAAGAAAGAAGGCGGCGCTAAGTGAAATAAACAGTGTACGTTTTAGTGAAATTAAGACCAATGATTAGCAAAAACTCATGGGACCAAAACAAATTGCTGATATTTGCAGTGATGTGCCAATCCCCCAGATTCAGCCAGCATGAGGATCATTTACATTTCATTATCAACAGATGCTGTTACTGTTACTACACAGTCACAGAGGTGTTTGGGATCCACAACACACACATTTTAACACAATCATGGCAGTGCTTTCCAAGCATAATTTTACCTCATGCCCCACCTGATCGCATGTGTTATAATCTCCCACCCTCCAAAACACACTCACAAAGTAATGGGAAGAAAAAAAAAGAGCTCTTCATGCTGCCATAAAGATTTTATTTGAAAGTAGCTGCTTTATTTAGCTTAAAGATTTACAATTGTAGGATAAATTTAAAATAAGTTACATAATTGAAAATATATTTGTATTCCAATATATTTTTTTTTAAAAATAATTTAAGCGGTTAACTTTAAGAAATCAAGTTGGAACATCCCCCACCCCCCCCCCCCCCCCCCCCCCCGGGGGTTTGGAATAAATGCATTTCCTATATCCCTGGCCCTGAGCTTTGGCTCAGATGGGCCAATATTTTGGCCACCCATTGTCATGAAAAAAATCTCCTTAAAATGGCGCCTCTCCATTTAAAAAAAAAAAAGTGATGCCCAGACCTAACCACTTCTCCAACCACCTTAGCCTTTTTGTCCCAGTTAATATTATATGCCCTACTATAATCTACAAATTCTGTGCCTGTGGAGGTACCCCCCAATTTAAAATATAAAATAGTTTTAATTATGATTCGACCATAAAAATACTAAGAAATGCTCCTTAAAAGTACATTGCCACAAATGTAAAGGAACTTCATTATCTCCCTCAAAACCCCCGAAATAATAACAAAACTATTTATATTTCGTAGAAAAACATATTACAGTTACATGACCGTCATTCCCATGCATTCCTGCAGGACTCGAGCCCTGCGCAAAATAAAAATACATGTACTACATTTGTTTAATCTCACAGGTATTAAATTAAATTTAAAAAAACAAATTAATTAAGAAGAGCATAACATTAATTTTATAAGATTTGGTCAGGCCAAAGGGTTAAAAATAAAGACTCGAAGACCATGGTTTTGCTACGGTGTATGTGGGCCAAAGCCAATGGTTTTGCTAGATACACCGCCGTGGTATATGGAGACCAAAGTCCATGGTTTTTCTAGGTACACTGCCACGGTGTACGTAGTACTGGCCTTTAATAAATGTAGCATATTATAGGCCTCTAGTGATATAAGATAACAGTCATGACCATAGATCAGGGGTCGGGAACCTATGGCTCGCAAGCCAGATGTGGCTCTATTGATGGCTGCATCTGGCTCGCAGACAAATGTTCGATTATTAATAAAAAGTCGCATTAATGGTAAGAAATACTCATTATTGATTAGCAACAGCATAACAATGTCATTAAAAGAATTCAGAGACATAATTATTGCATTTTTAGTGTTGAAATTACACAAAATGCACACATTTACTTGAATTTTTAGTTTTAAACATAATGTATGTCTCTCACAGAATTGCTTTTCAAAATTTGTGGTGTCCAAGGCGTTCTCAGACAAAAAGGTTCCCGACCCCTGCCATAGATGATAGAACTTACTTACTATGCCTGCTACATTTTCAATAATAATTTTAACAATATTCTAGTATATATAGTTGGTATATGAATAACTTTATAATTATAACTATAAATAGCCCAGGCAAGCTGTTACTCACTGCCAATATTGTAAATAAGTGTTGTGTTATTTTATGATGTACAATTCTTCTTTACTGACATTTACCTGCAGTAAATTTATCACATGGTTGATTTATCATTATGATATTATGTTAATGTATAATTTAGACCTAATCATGATATTGATAAACTTAATTACTAATTACTTATTCTCAGCTGGTGTGACAAGTTATAATTCAATGCTATCACTTTCTGGGTCCATATCAATATCTCTGTGTTTGCAACATAAAGCTCCTAAATATTACTATTGCTCCCTCTCCATAAATACCCAAAGCCAAAGGACTTAATGCTTTCATGTCTCAGTGATAATATAATTAGCCTTTTAAAAAGCCAAAAATTAAGTCCTGTTTTATGAGTTATTATTATTATGTCTGCCCTGTAAGGCTAGATTTTAAATATTAATTTATTTTATTTATTTATATAGGCCTTATAATAATATATATATGATGCAGGCATGTATATAAAATTAGAAGTTCAAGTGGTTATTGTTTTTCTTATCATTTATATATTCATATAAATTGCATGCAAATTAAATAAGTAAAACTTGTTGGGTGAATTTTAATAATGCTAATTATTAATGAATTACAGAAATCTAACATGAATGATTGAATGGAGAGTAATTAATAATTTGAAATTAAAATTAAAATTGTTTTAATGTTAAGGTAATGCTTTAATTTCAGGTGTCTGTTTAGACAATAGGTAATATATTTGGGTATAATTCTTTTTCAATTTACATGATTAAGTTGATGTTATTTCACACCTTTTTATAAAATCCTAGATTCCTTAATTTGTTTTTAAAATTCCTATTTTTAATTTATATTATATTGAAATGTGCCTGAAATAAAGTGTAGGGCTGCCAACATGTTGAATTGAATAAATTAGTGATACCCATTTTTATTTTGAATTTTATGTGGAAGATGCACAAATTGTACTTAAGTCATATAATGTGTCACTCTAATCATGCAATCACAGCTAACTGATAAAACTTTGCACTGGGATTGGGCAACCCTTTGCAATTTATTATGGAGAGATTTTATGTCTTATTTCGCACCAATACTCTCTACTTTTACAGTTGTATGTTTTTTCTGAATCAATTTACTAATGCAATGAATTTATCAACTTAATAAATAATTTCAAATCATTACTAATATCAGAATTAACTGTTGTATTAATCACACTTAGTATAAATGTTTTTATCTTATCGTTATTTATTATATTTTTAAGGGCAAGCAAAACACGTTTGATTTTTATTTATTACAGCTATGAATGGCAAGGTAGATGGTCATGTCAACGGCAATGACTTCCCTCATGAAAAAGTGGTCATTTTGGATGCAGGGGCACAATATGGCAAAGTCAGTATACATAACATGAAATAACTGATTAACTTATAATACAATAGTAATAATTCTTCATGCTAAAAGCAAATGCTGGATCAAGTATACATATTTGGTATTTGAATTATTATCCTCAGTGTGTATCCTTAAAGGCTCTATATGACTTTTTTATTATTGCTTCTAATATCTGAGAGTTGTTCATGAACATTTAGTGCATTTATTTACACTAGTATATTTGGCAAATTATCTATTTAAAATATTTCAATGATCTAAATTGCACACTGTTTGAAGGTTATAGACAGAAAAGTTCGAGAACTATCAGTTGGTTGTGACATTTTGCCACTTGATAGCCCAGCTTTTGTTATCAAAGAAAAGGGATACAAGTGAGTAAATTTTCTTTTTAATACATAATTATTTAAGTAGTTTTCTTTCAGATTCTTGCAAAGTCATTTTCCATTTTAGTGGTGTGTTGACAGTTAAAACAAGATACGTTTACCTTAAAATCTTTGTTTTCTTTCCACCACAAGAGCAATCATTATTTCTGGAGGACCAAGTTCTGTGAATGACCTTTCAGCTCCTCAGTATGATCCAGATATATTCAAATGTGGTCTTCCTGTCCTGGGAATCTGCTATGGCATGCAGGTATTGACTTACAATATGAAATAAAAATGTACAATTCTTTATTTTGAACCTAATATCATATTGTGATGTACATACAGGCTTATAATATAAATACATTTTTCACAGAATTTAAAACCTGGTTATTTTTATATGCATTCAAACATATGTTGCTTTAAATTAATATAAAAGCATCAATAGGATACCAATAAATTTGAATCCATTTAGAAAGAAAAAAAATTTAAATGCCTTTGCTGCTCTATAGATGATGAATAAAGAGTTCAATGGCAAAGTCACGAAAACAAACACACGAGAAGATGGTCAGTTTGATATAACTGTAGACACTTCCTGTACTATTTTCAAGTGAGTATTTCTTCATCCCAGTCTATGTTTTAACAATGGATAGTTATTTTAATTGGCATGTATTAGCCAACACGACACAGACTTTATTTCATGTTCAGAGTAAACAAAGAAATAATTTTCTTTAAACACAGGAAACTGGGGGAAAAGCAGCAGGTTCTGCTAACTCATGGTGACAGTATCACTCAGATTGCTGATGGTTTCAAGGCTGTTGCACAATCAGGAACGTGTATAGCAGGTTAGCTGTGAGCACTATTTAATACCCTAACTTGTATACCAGGTTAGCTGTTAGTACTATTTAATACCATAACTCGTCAAGCAGGTTAGCTGTGAGCACTATTTAATACCATAACTTGTATAGCAGGTTAGCTGTGAGCACTATTTAATACCATAACTTGTATAGCAGGTTAGCTGTGAGCACTATTTAATACCCTAACTTGTATAGCAGGTTAGCTGTGAGCACTATTTAATACCCTAACTTGTATAGCAGGTTAGCTGTGAGCACTATTTAATACCATAACTCGTCTAGCAGGTTAGCTGTGAGCACTATTTAATACCCTAACTTGTATAGCAGGTTAGCTGTTAGTACTATTTAATACCCTAACTTGTATAGCAGGTTAGCTGTGAGCACTATTTAATACCATAACTCGTCTAGCAGGTCAGCTGTGAGCACTATTTAATACCCTTACTTGTATAGCAGGTTAGCTGTTAGTACTATTTAATACCATAACTTGTATAGCAGGTTAGCTGTGAGCACTATTTAATACCATAACTTGTATAGCAGGTTAGCTGTGAGCACTATTTAATACCCTTACTTGTATAGCAGGTTAGCTGTTAGTACTATTTAATACCATAACTTGTATAGCAGGTTAGCTGTGAGCACTATTTAATACCCTAACTTGCATAGCAGGTTAGCTGAGTGCACAATTAAATACCCTTACTTGTATAGCATTTAACCGTGAGCACTATTTTAATATTAAAACAACATAAAATTTTCAAGATTTTTAAACTATAAAATACCTAACAATGGTTTAAAAATACAGCCTGTCTTGTGCTGCTCTGTGGCTATTTTATCTTTACACTGTAATGAATTGTTAATTTTAAGTTATAACTAATTAACAGGGCAAGTAACTTTGTTGTATTATTAGTCCAAAAAAAAATTAAAAATTGGACACTCCTGGGCTCAAGAAATTAAAAAAATCTTTAGGTTTACACATTCATTGCATATAACCATTTATTTTTATTTAAAGCTGTTCGCTTGGTGTCTTTTTTTTTTTTTTTTGTGTGTGTGGGCGTATACATCTAGCCTTTGTATTAAGACTAATTATTTTGTTATATTTTTAGGTTTTTTTGAACCAGTTTTTGTTAACTTTATTTTTATTTAAAGTTGTTTTTTTGGTTTTTTTTTTTTTTTTTTTGTGTGTGTGGGCGTATACATCTAGCCTTTGTATTAAGACTAATTACTTTGTTATATTTTTAGGTTCTTTTGAACCAGTTTTTGGTAACTTTGAGGACTTTCCATCCTGCAGCTATTGCCAATGAGAAGAGCAAATTATATGGTGTTCAGTTTCATCCTGAAGTTGACCTCACAGAAAATGGCAAGAAAATGTTGCATAACTTCCTGTTCGATGTGGCCCAATGCAGTGGAGATTATACTATGAGCAGTAGGGAGGAGGCCTGTATAAAGTACATCAAAGAAACAGTGAAGGATCACAAGGTTTTGGTGAGGGTTCATTCTTTCATATCAAATGTACAGAAAGAAAGCTCAATTATAATTGCATTGACATTATTTTGTACAAACACAATTTTTCAGTCATTGTCCCATGATCCCTATTTAATCTGAAAAAGACCCATTCAATAGATAAATTAAGTTGATATAGTGACCCTCATATAAGTTTACATTAGCTCTACATGTCTTTATGCTTACTGCCAGACAAAGTTAATCCTTTATTAATAATTGGACTTTACTTTTTTGTAGATGCTGCTAAGCGGTGGTGTGGATTCCACAGTTTGTGCTGCACTGCTACACAAAGCTCTAAATGAGGACCAAGTGATTGCAGTGCATATTGACAATGGGTTTATGCGCAAGAATGAAAGTGATCAAGTTGAGCAGTCACTCAATAAAATAGGCCTGAAAGTTAGGGGTAAGTGTAAGGCAGTGTTAAATATTCATAAGCCTAATTATTTTCTTTCAAAAGCTATACAATACAACACATAATCTCTACTGCTTCTTAGCATTATGTATTAGGAGATTAGTGTTAGATCTGTATTGATGTTGTTGATGCATCAAGTAATGTTGATTGTTATTTTTGTTGTTTTTCTCCATAAAATCTGAGCACTGTTTTTCAGTGTTTGAAAACCGATGTTATTGTGTTAAAACTATTTCAGTGATCAGAGCATCCCATACATTTTATAATGCAACAACCTCTGTGTCCATTGATTCCAATGATATCAACTCACGGAAGAGAAAAACTAATACTTTGAACACCACCACAAATCCTGAGGACAAGAGGAAGATTATTGGTGACACTTTTATGAAGGTAAACAACTGGCTCACAATAATTGTAAGAACACCAGCTCACATACCCGCTAACCCACAGAGCCAAACCCACGTACATGCAAATATATTATGACCAGGTCACTCTTATACAATGTGCGATAATCAGATATCTTCTATGATTGTACGACAGGGCCTGTCAGAAATGCAATTATATGAGACCAGGTTGAAAAATATATTCCTGTAGTTTCTATGATTGATAATAAAAAATAAATACATTTTCGGTTGATACTTTAGCTCCCTTCTACATCCTGTGGTGAATGGTTCGAGACATTCAATTGGTTGAATGGGAAGGGTTAGGGGCCAGGGTGTTGTGTTAGAATATTTTTTAAAGGCTATAAAATAGAATCGCCTTGTTTTGTAATGAGGGTGATGAACATCATATTGTTGCATCTTTGTTTTTACAGTGAACTTGCTCAACACAGCAACAGTAATATTATCTTAGTTGTAGTGACACATTTAGTAACATTGGCTTTTGTTTGCTTCTGTGCTGTATGACATAATTTTTTGACATAATTATTTCATCCTTCAACTGAACTGTGGCAATTGCAAAATGGGGAAAACTGGATTCCTTTTTTTATTTTTATAAATTAAATGTATTCTTGTTAGATTGTGAGATTTTTGCTATTTATTAACTACTAAAATTAAAGAATTTATATAAAGACATCTGGGTAAGGAGAACCTAATTTTCCACAAGCATTCCGATGGCATAGAATGATGTATAATGATGCAAAACTACATTTGGGTATGCGCATAAGCACATTCCTGCACATTTTGATTTTATTTTTAAAAATCTGTTATCGGGGCTCAGCCTGTCCCTAAACCTGACCCCACTTTCACTTGAGTGACTTAGAGTTCTCGATTTCTGCTCTTCCATCCCATTGTCTTTCATCAAAATGGCAATGACGGCACCTTTTTATTTGCAATATAGTACTAGGTATATAAACATCAGCACTATATCTAGGTATATAAACGTTCGTTACTTTGAGAAGTGACATTTTTAAGACATGCTGTGTGAATAGTTACAGTACACATTATACTGTATGCTTATTTATTGAGATGCTAGATATAAGATGAACCAAAGCGCACATAGATTTAAAGTGAAACAATATTAAAACTGTGGTTTTTTTTTAATTGAAATCACACTATTACCAGAAGTCTGAGGGGACTTGTAATTTCGTATTCTAAATAACAATGAGATAGGTGTGTCAGTATGCCCAGGGATGCATCCATCATGACGCATTTAGTTTCATTTATTTCATTTATTTCATTTTTTTAATTATAATTTTTGTAAGCAATATTTTTTTTTAAAAGAATAATTAAAGTATTTGTCACTAGCCAGTGGATCCAGATAATATTTACTCAAATCCAGATTTATTCTACGCAATATACATTTAACAACTTTATGTTTGAGAATTTGTGTAGTTCTCAAATTATTGCAACCAATATTTTCTTGCACTCAGGTTGCTAATGAAGTTGTTGATGAACTGAACTTGAAACCAGAAGATATCTACTTGGGACAAGGTAAATATGTGTCTATATTTATTTAAGTACATTAATTTTGAGTTATCAGAATGTGGCCAGCTTGACATTTTTATTTCTGTTGCATTGGTTGTACATCAATAACACTGCTACCTGATCTGAAAGAGATTTTTTTCTAATTGTTTGTTGTGCCTCAGGAACTCTGCGGCCTGATCTGATAGAGAGTGCCTCCGCCCTGGCCAGTGGGAATGCTGATGCCATCAAGACCCACCACAATGACACAGATTTAGTCAGGGAGTTGAGAGCCCAGGTTGGACTCTATTTTATATGCTTTTTATTTAGTTGCTCTAAATGATAAATTTGTTTGTTATTTTGTGGGTGGTCAAATGTTGCATTTTAATTTTGATCCCCACTCCGTGATGTCCAATTAATCTGAACTTTGTCCACTTACACACACCCTGGACGATGACTTCAGTATATTTTTTTCACCAAAGATCTCTATATGGGTCTATCTTGCATCTCAATTTTGACCCACTCCCTGATGCCCCAATTGAGCTAAAACTTTCTACACTTACCCGCCCCCGATGACAATACAACCCTTTATTATAAGTTGGTGTCCAGTGACATCCTCTGACACTTAAGTGATATCTTTTTGTTAAACCTTGCATCACAATTGTGACCTAATGAGCTGAAAGTTTGTACGCTGACTATAAAAATTACAAAATAAAACAATATTAAAAATAATTTTTTAAAAAACAGGCTCTCCAATTATTTAGGCATAAAATATGCAAATCAGAAATCTCATTTGCATAAATGTTAAGATTTCATTTTGTTTTGAAAAGATCATATTAGTTCATTCAATTCCCTACAAGAATACATATATAGTTTTATATTTGTAAAATTCTTTTTTATTTTTTATACATATTTTTACAAAGTAAGTGTAGGGCTTGTGAAAAGGGCTCCATCTTCTTGGTACTGACAGTCCAAAAAGGCGACTCTTGCTGCGGCATGTCACGTGTTAATCAAACTCATAAACCATATCAAAACTTAAATTTTTAAAATCTTTTTAATCCATATCTTTTAATTTTTTAAAAATGTTTGTAAGATTTCATCTAATTGTACAATTAAATAAATAAATAATATACACAAAAAAAAAAAAATTTATGAGCGAACGTAATCTGCGCATATAGTTTCTCTTTTTATATAAGAGAAGTGAAAATCTATTCACCCAAAATTTGTCCCATCTTTGTTAAAGAGCTTGTGTCCTTCAAATGAATTGATGGGTCATCAAGTAATATCATGGTATATTACAAATTTAAATTCAAAGACCAATTTTTTTACAATGGTTTATGTCATTCATTCATAGAAACGCAAATTATGTCTTTTCAGAGTAACATGTATTTTAAAACTTCATTTGACTACTTGCGATATAAACACAATTTGCCTTTTTTTAAATTTTACATAATTCTATTAAAGCTTTAAATTTACAAACATCTGTTATTGATACTCTCGTATTCTATATTATCTAGGGTCGTATTGTTGAACCATTAAAAGACTTCCACAAAGATGAAGTTAGAGCAATAGGCAAAGATCTTGGTCTTCCAGATGAGTTGGTACACAGACATCCCTTCCCAGGTAAGCAAAGATCCCATCAATAAAATATGTATTTTCCATCCTCATTGAAATGACTATATTAATTAGTGCAACCACTACCTGCAACCTACTTCTTTGTGGATCTGTGTGGGAGGGTGGGACTCAACCTTGGAAGGCAACTTATCTAAGAGAAGGCAAGCTCTGAAATGAAACCCGGAAATGGCGTTCCATAGGTGATATGGCACTGACATCGTGAAAATTCGGACAACCCCTGCAACATGAAACACGTTAAGAGCACAGTGAAACACACAAAAAGCATTGCTGGTTATCCGCTGCATCCTGGTCTGTTTCAAGTAATCTTTACAAAGTCTTACCATTGGCAAGGATGAGAGATTGAGGCTGACGAATTAAGCAACTCTCCCTCACTTTAAACAAAATGCAGCTCAAGTCAAGGCTACCACTTGTCGAATATTGCCTTGATCATCCTCACATGAAAAGGACGTACAGTATATATATGTATTTCAATGTATACGTTGAAGCATTGAACAAATCATGTGCTTGTTCTTCCTTGGAATCCAAGCACTTGAATGTTACTATTGAAATGCCTTAGCAAGTAATAGGCTTTGCATCTTAGCTTTTTGTCTTTGACAGGACCAGGACTGGCCATCCGTGTTATCTGTGCTGATGAACCTTTCATGTGCAAAGACTTTGCTGAAAATTCTGTCATGCTTAGGATCATCACAACCTTTTCAACTTCAACCAAGACTGTAAGTAACACTCTTGACTCTGTAAAATCCATGAAATATAAGTATTGTGAGAAATAATGTTTTTTTAAAATTCCCTGATCATTTTATGAAGCATTTCATTATGAACAGTTAGAATGTGTGTTGATTTTTACACACATGCAAAGGAGACTGAGAGAAAATGACTGATGATTTGTTAATATAAATATAAATTCACATCCTGTTATCTGCACTTGGCGGGGGGGGGGTGATATGAGTACAACTTAATTAAGGCACTCTATAAATGTCAAGGCTGTATTATTATCTATAGAATTATCCCCTTTATCTGCCTAGTACTGCAAAGATAAGCCTACAAGTTAGAATGTGTGTTGATTTTTACACACATGCAAAGGAGACTGAGAGAAAATGACTGATGATTTGTTAATATAAATATAAATTCACATCCTGTTATCTGCACTTGGCGGGGGGGGGGGTGATATGAGTACAACTTAATTAAGGCACTCTATAAATGTCAAGGCTGTATTATTATCTATAGAATTATCCCCTTTATCTGCCTAGTACTGCAAAGATAAGCCTACAATTAGGTAACATTCTTTCAACTTTGTTTCAGGCCCCCATGCTTGCAGGCAGTAAGGTGGCTACTCTTTTTTTTTTCCCTCATTCTTAATTGATAGGGATGTCTATCAACAAACTGACACTGTTGTTAAAACTGTGATTTGATATTGTTTAATGAGTTTGGTAGAAATAGAGGTCCAGCTTTCTAGATAAAGATCTTCATCCAGAGTTTTATGTTTTTCTATGATTTCCTAGTTCAAGTCCATCTGATGTATCATTAAAGGGGCTTGGACGGTTTATCTTCATTTTGAACCTGTTCCACACACTTGAAAGACTCAAATGTTAACAAATATGATTATCAATATGATCGTTTTTTTATTCATAAATTTTTAAGCACTTAGATGAATGCATTTTAGCAGCTTTTTACACACAAAACAGTTTTTAGCTGAGTGTTTCCATCATACATTGGCTCTGTAACATAAAGACGCTTGAGCTGTAACTCACATCGGTGAGATTTTTTCACTGTGTGGCTTTCTCTCTTTTTCATCTAGCCGCACTCCCTGCTGAACAGAATTAAGTCCAGTTCCTCCTCAGAAGAACAAGATCATTTAATGAGAATATCTGCCAGGTTTTCTATGCAGTCCATACTGCTGCCCATTAAAACTGTTGGTGTGCAGGTAGGACATGTTGCTGTAATTAAGTTTTACAGCTCATAAATTCTTGATTTATTATTGAGCAAACAGACACACACACACAGATCTTTAAAAACAATCATTTTGACATCCCTTTTGTCAAAGCAATGAATAGTATTTTCCACTGAAACCTGTAATATATTTTTTCTCTTCTAAATTTGTTTAATTTATGGTGTGTTTGATTATTAATTTGGCTTTTAATCTTATTTGAGAGTAATATAACTGATTCCTGGAAGCGTCGACTGACATTTTAAGAAAGCTGACACAGTGTTGAACTTTTCTAGGGGGACTGCAGAACTTACAGTTATGTGGCGGCTTTGTCCTGTGAAGATGACCCAAACTGGGAAGAACTGATGATTCTGGCCAAACTAATTCCAAGGATTTGTCACAGTATCAACAGGTTTTTTTACTTAGTTCTATTGTTTTTTAAAGACTTGGTAATTGTATTTTCTTCTAGTATAAATGACTCATTCTTTGTGTCTTACTCTTGTGATTTCTAGCCTAATACACTATGAAGTGAAAGAAACCATGTGTATTGAAGCACAGGACGTTTACTTAACTCAGTACTCTACATTGAAAAGTCAAGTCCCACAATCTGCTTAACTCACGTGCGGGTTATGGATCATGATTACAGCTGCCGCTATCATGGATTTGATTGGGTGCATCCCAATCATGTTAAAAACTGTAACCTTATGGCTTCGTCTTCTGTCCTTATCACAAAAGTGACTAAGCAAGATTTTGGTTTTACAATATCTTATGTTTTTTGCAAGGGGTAATACCAATTTCTTGAGTTTGTGAACTTACATTCCTATTATTTCAATCTGTCCAGAGTTGTGTATGTATTCGGTCCGTCAGTCATTCATCCAGTAGAGGACATCACACCAACCTTTCTAACAACTGGAGTACTAGCAACACTTCGACAGGCCGACTACAACGCTACAAGGACCCTAGCTGAAGCTGGAGTGTCTGGAGCTATATCGCAGGTAAAAATTTAGATATCCAAAATGTATACGTCCACCATCTGGGAGGAGTGACTGGACCACATTTAGATGAGATATCTTTTTTTGATCCAAACAAATGAAAATGTTCTTTATAACATTGTACATATACATTTTCAGCACATAAATAAATACATATTTTATTTAATACAGTCGACATTTTCCAACTAAAACAATTTTAACACAAGATATCTATCTACATTAAATTATATCTCTAGTGTAAAAAACAGCCAATCAGTGAACTCCCTTAGTTATAATAGGGACCCAATTAGTGATCATTTAGATTTCGTGACTTATGGGAGCACACTGGTAAATTTGTACAGATTGGGGAACAAAAGAATATGTATATCTTTCAGTCCGCGCCTTAAGAGAAAGAATTTGTCCTGAATTGGCGAATCTTAAATATCCGATGAAGAGGGTGGGAAATATCATCCAATATTTTTTAAATTTTACAATAACATTTTTCTTCAAATAGTTCTTCAAGTGAAGTTGCGCGTCGTAAATGACCTTCTGTCATCTTGTGGCGAGGGCAAGATATCGCTTTTGTTGTTACTGGATTTATCGGCTGCGTTCGATAGGCTTGACCACGGCATACTTCTCCAACGTCTGGAAAATATGTTCGGTTTCACCAATACGTCCTGAAATGGTTCCGTTCGTATCTGACAAATCGGGTCCAATCAGTTAGCGCAAACGGCATGAACTCAAAGCAATCTATCATCGAATTCTAGGCCCAGTGCTTTTCACTATGTACGTTCAGCCCCTGGGTGCAGTGATCAAGCAGTTTGATATGCTTATGCTATATCCCGTGTTCGCAGATGATACCCAACTTCAGATATCTGTGCTCCCCTCTCAGTTCCCTCGGCTTCTTAGTATGACACAGATGACAGTGGAGTCAGTTAAGCACTGGATGACTATAAACAAGCTTAAATTGAACGATGAAAAGACCTAGCTAATCCCCATTGCTACCGCTTAAAAGCTAAAATATATAACTAACAGACAAACCCTTACTCTCTCATGTATACAGATAGAGTTTGCTCAAACAGTGGGAAACCTGGGTGTCTACTTAAACAGAACACTAACTATGGAAAATCACATTAACATTCTTTGCAAGGCGATTTTTCTAGAGCTGCGCAGAATGAGTCATATCAGACCTTTCTTAACATTAGACGCATCGAAGAGGCTGATGTCTGCATTCGTGCTTTCACGCATGGACTATTGCAATGCTCTTATGGTGGATCTTCTAGCAACGCTCCTGGATAAAATTTAAAAAGCACAGAATAATGCGGCTCGCATTGTTCTTCAAAAACACAAATTCGACCTTGCTAAAACACTTCTGAGAGAGTTGCATTGGCTGTCGGTACAAAATTGCAACTCTGTGCTACCGCTGCTTGCCTGACCTGGCACCGTCCTATCTCAAAGCGCTACTTACGCCTTATGTACCCACTAGACAACTCCGCTCATCTGATAGTGGCAAACTCTCGATACCACGTGTTCGCCTTGAGACTTACGAGGGGCGCACTTTCGCATTTGCTGGCCCAACAATTTTGAACACTCTTCCTATCGCTATCAGAAACAGCCAGACACTGGAGTCTTTCAAAACTGATGTGAAGACTTATCTTATTCGCAAACACCTGCTGGGGTGATGTTGTCTATCTAGCTATCGTCTTTTAAATGTATATTGGCCTGTGTTGTTTATGGGTGCAAGGTAACTAAAAGTGAACTAGTTTCTTCTTTTGCCATATATTTGATAGAGTTATGGGATCAACTGAAAAATTAACTGAATGAATTCCACTGGCATTGTAGTCATATTTTAAGCACCATTGTCATATTTTTTAAGCACTTCAAATGTATTTTTGTTTTCTTTCTTTGTGTTTTTCCTCCTTAAATTGAGCATGCAGGAAAGATCAGACCTGTTTACTCTTACGCTTTTGGCGTACAATGTACGATTTTGAGGTGTATAAATTATATAAACTGTATGTTTATTTGTTTTACTATTAAGATAGTGTATTGAATGATTTTGTGATTGATGTACGATTTTAAGAGTTTGAGGGTAAGATTAATAAGACACGAACAAATTGTGTCAATATAACAATATAATTTAATCTTTAATAATAATTATAAATTATACACAAGTAAACGTTTCGGCACATGCCTTCATCTATACAAACAAAAAAACATTTAAATAAGTATAAATTAATCTTACATAATATCAATATACATATCCTACCTAAAAAAAGAAAAAAACTTAGGAGAGGGCGCTAAAACCAGACAAAAACAAAGCAAAGAGGAGTGGAAAGGAAGTGATTTGAACATAATTGTAAAAACTAAATAGGAAAAAGAAATGGCCGCTAGGTAAAATTGTGGATTTGGTTTATTCCATATGGAGACAACATACCAAATCTTGTTATTAATTTATTCTCCATATAGATTCTATCTGTAGTGTTACTTGTATAGAGTACACCAGTAACTGCGATGTCTGAGATACCATCATGGTTAGGGCTATTGAAATGTTTGGAGACCGGACAGAGAGCTTGTTTATTTATGTTATAGAGGTGTTCTCTGAACCGGTCTCCAAGTTGACGTCCTGTCTCTCCTATGTATAATTTACCGCACTTTTTTGCAAATGATGGTGTAAAACACGTTGCGACTTGTGCAGGTAAAGCCATCTTTTATTCAAAATATTTCCAGAGGGAAAGTGATCTTATCAGCTTCAATCACGTATGGACATGAGTTACAACGGCTACGGTTGCAACTTTTTGTGCCTTTATGTGCTTTAATACCAGGGAGGTGGCTTCTTACTAGCATGTCCCTAAGGCTCTTGTCTCTCCGGAAAGCGAAAAGAGGATGTTTTCTGAAAATCTCATTTGTGACAGGGTCTGCCATAAGAATTGAGCGGTTTTTCAGAACCGGAAAACAAGCTTTTAGGTTATGGGGATGAAAAGTTAAAATAAATTTAGACCTATCCCTAGCGTCAGAATGAGTAGCTTTAAAAGAATCCTGACTAGTCATACCTTTAACTCGAGTGACAGCTGTTTTTAAAATTTGTTCAGGGTATAACCTGCGTCGGAAAAAATCCAACATTTCAGTCATCCTTTCCCCAAAATCCTCATCATTATTACAGTCTTCTGAGTCTCAGCAGCTGAGAAAATGGGATGGAGTTTTTACACCATTGAGGATGGGATGATGAATATAACAAGAAACTATGACTGTTTGTTTATAGAAAATGGACGTAGATATTTTGTTCTCATTAAGGTTAATTTGTAAGTCCAAAAAATCTATGGTGCTTTTATGGATCATTGAAGTGAATTTAATTGTTGGATGAAAATCTCCAATGAAGTCAATAAAACTTTCAAGTTTCATTATTTCCATATTAGTAATCCCTATACAATCATCTATGTATCTTCTGTAGCATTCTGGGAAAGGACCTTCGTAGTGTTCTCTCCAAAGATGTTCCAAATGGCCCATAAATAGACATGCATAACTTGGTCCCATTTTCGTTCCCATAGCAACACCACTGATCTGATAGAAAAATTCACCATTAAATTCAAACGAGTTAAGCTGTAGAACCAATTCTGTCAAACGAACAATGGCACTTGTTGGAAATTTAGGATTCTTATTCAGAAAAAATGAAATAGCTGTGAGTCCATCAGTATGGGGAATTGAGGTATAAAGTGAAGAAACGTCCATTGTAAAAAGTGAATGGGTTTCATTAGGTCAAACCAAGGACTCGAGAGATTTGATCATGTGGTTAGTGTCCTTAATATACGATGGCAAATTTTCAACCATGGGCTGGAAAATTGTATCCAAAAATTCCGAAATCAGTTCAGTAGGACAAAAACAAGCTGAGACAATAGGTCTTCCTGGACTTCTCTGCTTGTGAATCTTTGGTAACAAATACAAGCATGGTTTACCAAGATCACTGTCATAAATACGTAAGTTTGAGGCAGACGCGGGTAATTTGCCAACTTGAATAAGTTCTTCGATAGTCTTCTTGACAATTTCATTATTCTGGACAATGGGGTCGTTGGACCTCGGCGTGTAAAAGGTTTTATCTTGTAATTGTTTGGAGGCCTCTTCAATGTACAGCTTCTTATCCCAAACAACAACAGCTCCATCCTTGTCTGCCGGTTTAATAATGATATCCTGACGTTTTTTTATATGAGAGAGTGCTCGCCATTCTGGTTTAGATAAGTTTGATTTATGGAGAGGAGTTTGGCATAGATTTTTTATTTGATTCTCTGTACATTTAATGTAAAGGTCAAGTTCTTTAGATTGATCAGGTGGAGGTGTCCATGTAGATTTGCGTTGTCATTTTACAGGAAATGAATCCTCATCCTGGTTAGTGGGAGCCTCGTGAAAGTAAAGTTGCAGTCTCACTTTTTATAATTAGTTCGAGGGTAAACAGGTCTGAAAGATTAACCTTGTTATTTGCTCTAAATGTACTTTCAGATGCCAATTGTGTTGATCCCTGTCCACTTTGATAGAGATCCAAGCATGCACCTGCCATCCTGCCAAAGGTCAATAGTTATAAGAACTTTCATCACCAATGATTTTATGACTGGCGTCCCTTCCTGCCCTGGCAAAGAAATCCCTATCAAGGTAAATAGCCTGTCAAAGCATTCTGTTTTTTTTTCTCAATCTTTTGTATTTTCATCATTTGAGTTAAGTCATGAATGCCTTTCTCTCCATAGTATTTTTATTTAGTTTTGGATGTTTCTGACTCTGGTTATAAAGAAATTATGTTTGGTTTTTTTTGCTTTGTTCGGATTAAGAGTAATGTCATTGTTTATTTTAGGTACTTGACAAAATGGTGGAAAATATTCTTCAAGTTCCTGGAATTTCCAGAGTCCTTTATGACCTAACAGCTAAACCACCAGGCACTACGGAATGGGAATGAGGCTATTTACCTGTGAATAGGTTTATGTTGCAGTATATTATCCTAAATATATTACAATTAGTCTTTAATCTAAAGGCATAAACTCGAAAAATTGTCTCATTTAGTGTTCTTTGGGCCCTCAGATCAACCTGAATAAAGAATCGTTCAATGTCCCTTCCCGATGTTCCTTACATTTGCATTGTTTGTTTTTTAAAATCATTTTGTGTTTACTTGCATTTTTGGGAGAAACTTTTTCAAATATCTAGGGTAATGGCTGAAGTTTATATGAAAATAATAATAACCGGAGAGATGAGATATAGGCAAATATTTATATCAGGAAATTCTATAATTTAATGCATTATCTACAATTTAACCATGAAATGATGAATTTGTTTTCTGTTTAAACTACAATGTATTTGGACTTCGTTAATAATTTGGAGACAAAAGAGATTTGAGATCTCATGACTTAAAGAGAAAAGATCTCAAATTGTTTCTGGTTTTCAAGAAAAAGCCATACGCCTAGTAAAGATGTGTGATGAGATTTTGAGAAGAATGTTGTTCATTTAATAGTAATAAACTTGGATTCTTGCTAGCATTGTTGTCTTAGAGTATTATTGTGAATACATTTTTTTCGATGAGACATTAAGGAGGAGAGCATCATATTTTTTTCCTGTGATTTAGGCAGCATGTTTGGTCCTATCTTTTTAAAACTGATGACAGCAGAATACAAAATATTATTTTAAAAAATCAGTTGTATCATACAAATTGATTTTTAAAAATCTTTATCGAATATTAGTCTGGAAATTGATATAAATAAAATTGTTAGGATTTTTGTTTTTTAATTTTTTTAAAATCCACATCATTTCCTTAATTAATTTGAATTCTGCTGATTATAATCATTTGTCAGCATTTGGTTGTAAAATAATTATCACACACAATGTCAGATTTTAAGATGGAAATCTTACTTATGGTATTAGGATTGTTTTATGCACCAGAAATATTATCGAAAGGTAGTTAAAATTATCAATTTGAAAATTGTGCCAACTTGATTAACTATAGCGGCTGAATTATTGAAGATATTCTAAGTACACAATGTATCTTAACTCGAAAAAAAAAAAAGCTACATTAATATGTATTCTTAATCTTTAAAGGGCTTTAAGAAATATTAATAATGATGGCAATAAACTTTGTAGTTTTGTGACACACTTTTTTTTTTCCTTCTTTTGTTTACATATCATTAAACCAAAAAAAATATATTTAAACTTTAACAGCATTATTGTCTTTCTTGGGCTCTAGCAGATTGTTGCAATGCTAGGTTGAATATTTTTGCGTTACATTTTGAATGTTGACTTTAAAACGCTTACCAAATCTTCATGAGGTGGTATAATTTAAACAAAGGTGAATAGTGTGCTAGGATATTTCATTTCTTACCAAAGGATTGGTTGGTTATACTGCACAAATAAATAATATTCAGATTTTAAATCTTTTATCATATTCATAAATTCTTTTAACTTTGCTCTCTAGAACCATTCAAAAACAGCACAAATTTATTGACATCTATTTATTTATTTGAATTACATAATCCTGGAAAATGATTACCTATTTATAATTGTTTATAAATCAGACTACAAGCTACCTCCTTTGTAATGATATGGTGCTGTGATTTGCCATTCATTAATTCATTAGTATTTTGAGTTATTCTATCTACTGCATGTGAAAAATGGGTTTTAATTTTATAAAAATTTCTGAGAAAAATCAGAAATCCAAGAGAGGGAATTTTTAAGTTGTTATGGGAGAAAGAGAGAGAAGGGGGGCCTTATTTACAGTTGGGTTTATCAAAGTGTGAAAAATTTGGCAGCTTGGAAGAAATGACAGTTTATTTATTTATATGCCTTTATTTTTCTATTGATCTGAAACGTGTGCAATTTATATTGATTTTTGTGTAAGTTTAATCTTTGCATCATAGTGACTGTCAACTTAGATGGATATTAAAAATTAAATTACTTAAAGATAAAGCATAATTTTACAAAAGAAATAAAAGGTCTAATAAATTTTAATAGTCTAGAATAAAGTCTAAGTTTTTTCATATAAATATTTTATAGCTTGCAAATTAGGTCATTTTTACATGTCCAACAAGAACAAAAAAAAAAAAAAAAAATAAGATTAAAATATTCATTATTTATTTTTTTACTTTCCCTCTTTTTTTTTTTTTTTTAAAAAGATTTTTTTTTTTTTTTTTTTTTTTTTTTTTTTTTTTTTTTTTTAATGTTCATTATTTATTTTTGGGCATTCCCTCTTTTTTTTTTTTTTAAAAAAGGGATCTTTCCATCTCTAGTTTTTTAGAAATTAAATGGGCATATCTTATGTCCAAAGATATTTATGAACAAAGTTACTGATTAGAAAGCCACCAGCTTTATATCATTGACCTTTGTGATGTCAGTTGAATAAATTGTGACATTTCCCTATATTTTCTGTTTTGTTTTTTTGTTTGTTTTTTCAGACATAATTGAAGGTAATTAAGTTATTTAGTTGTGATTTTAAGATTTGTTTAAAGTTCTCTACTGTTGATAAAAATTATAAGGAATGTTTTATTCTACAAGTAAATTAAAATTAAAAACAAGAACATCTACCAACAGTATTCAAAATTATCCATTTACTTTTTATTTTCTGTTTTAAAAAACCTTATAGAACAGTTACATTAAAGTATCTGAGGCATTCTTAGTATTGACATTGTAGAAATGGGGACAAAGTGAGCTTTTCAACATATTCTTGTATAAACACAAACAGCATGACGACACATTGGCAGAGTTTTGCTTCCTCCTAAAATGTCTAGAAAAAAATTATAAAATTAAATGCTTCAGGGGCAGTTTGTAAAGATGGTAACTAATTTTTAAATCTTAAAGGATAATTGTTTAATAGCTTCACACCTTTAAACAGATCGCACCATTTGCATTACAAAGAAAAACATTTTTGTCAAATTATTTCAGATAAAAATAAAATCATGAATATCAATACAATTCAAGTATTTGATGTATCTCAATTTGTTATATTTAAATTAGCTTACTTGCGGCTGATAGTATCAATAAATAATTCACTTTAATGGTGAATCAAAATAAACTGAAATCAATAGCCCCAAATTCTGTTTTCCATTCATGCATAAAATTTTTTTTTATTATTTATGGGAAATAGGATATATTCTTTTCAAACTATGCTTCTAGCAATAGAAGCTGACCTGAGGAAGTGGGAGATAGAGTGAAATGCAATGGGGTTTCAAATTTTACAAAAACAAAACAAATTGACTAAAATCAAATAAAAACTCAACAAAAACTGACCAACCATAGCTGTTTGTAATATTCAAACTGACAATATCATTTTTTTTTTTTTAAACTTAAAAAGGTAATTAAATAATTATGCCTGCAGTTCACAGCGTCAGTGACACAAGTCCACTTTCTAAACTAAATTATTTAGTGGGGTATAAAATTTAGATGTTAAAAGTTTTGAACAAATGAAATGTAACATGGAAGAAATCCTCTCATGCATACATAGTCGTGAATGATTTTTAAGACAGTAATAAAAATAGTAATAAGTCAACAATTGAACTGTTTATTTTTACAGAGTACAGCCATGAGCAATAGAGTTACCTTTCTGTGCCTATTGTGATTTTTAGCAGTACTATTTTTATTTATTATCTTGGTCAAGATAATAGTGCATTAGTTAATGTTATGTAAAAATTAAGATTTCACTTTTGAATTTATAAAAAATAACAGCAGCATGTTGATGTACCAAAGGAAAAAATACCAGCATCCAAAAGTTGCAATGATGGAACTTTCAAACAAACATTCACAGTTCGGCCACAACATATGTACCAGTCCCCTTATTTTTTATTTACAATGGCTTTTTTGTAATGCCCCACACCATTATATACAATATATATATACATACAGTAATAAACATGTTTTTTTTCTGTGAACTTCATCCTCAGACTCAGTTTATTTTACTGAACCCAAATAATTTAACCTGAATCAGCTTTTGTAAACATGGCCTCCACATCTTAAGGAAGAAATTCAGATGAAACTTATTCCAGTTGCACTTATTGTGTCTAAGAATGTTTAAAAATAATATTGCATGTAATCTTAATATTTATTTGAATGAAGATAAAAAAAAAAATTCTTTAACATGTTAGCAGCATCTATTCAAATCATCCAGGTGATGCATTTTCTCTCTCTCAGAGCTAATACACTAAAAAAAGAAGAGTACATGACAGAACACAAAAGGAAGATAATTCCTCTATAGCTTGTCACACATATTTAACTACTTTTTAAAATAATAGAGTACCAAAATTACGTTTTTTTTCTACCCTGTCTAAAAAATTATATATTTATAACACTATTTGAAACATTGAAAAAATTCCAGTATTAGCAAGACTAAAAAATTATCTATTAATATTGATAGATAACAATCCTCAACAAAATTGTAATCTGTCTGATGGATATCTTCCATCAGATAACCAATGTGACAAGACAATAATATCAAAACATTTGGGTAAACTTTTACACTATATTTAACTTGACCATGACAGGAATTTACCTTTAAAAACTAATTATAGCTTTATATTATCACACTTTCAATTAACTTCATCTGTGTTTTTCTTTGGCCTAACTGATGCTTTTCTTTTTCTTGCTTGGATTCTCATCTGCTGTAGATTCTCATCTCTCTCCACATCATCCAACCATCTAAGCCTTGGTCTGCCTTCAAACTGTTTTTAAGTGACTTGGTTAAATCAATTAAAATATTTTCTTATATGCATCCATAAATTAAAACGTAGGAGATTATCATGAGGTTTGACACTACATTTTATAAAAATTACCTCTAGAAATAGCTTATTATCATCATCACAGCACATTGGCATACAAAAATAAATGGTTACATTAGTAGAAAAGAGATTTGTATTTCTTACTGAAGTGAGTCACTGGACAGGTGTGTTGAGAATTAGGACATCAATGAAAGCGCAACTGTCACTTGAAGTGTTACACGTTCTTAGACCAACTCAGTAGTGCAAAAACTTTGCAATTTGTATTATGCAAGATAAAATAGTATAGCTTAAAAAAAAATCTTTCTCAGAAGCATTATTTTTAAATAAAATTTATTCTAAACAAGCCATCAAATGTCAGCCATTTAGTATATGTGGATCAATTTAAATCAAGTAAAAATATTTCAGAATTTAAAGGTCAGGAGTTGGAACAAAATCGAGTGAAAAGATCCGATGCCATCTCATTTAAATTTACAAGATTTTTTTTTACAAGATTTTAGGACCGACAAAAAAGAATCAACAAGCAAAGTCACCCATCTAACCAGTGTTCAACAAGCAGAAACCTCTTTTCTACTAAATAACTGAAATCAACCAACCAACAAATAAATGAATGAGCTTTTACCATCAGGTTTCCACAACATTTGTCAGAACATGTTTGACAACAAAAGCAAAAGCTGCAAACCCAACAATAACAAGCATGTTTGTCATGGTCCCCCTCAAATACCACCTTGGACCTCTATTGACATTTTCTGCTGGTATTGGCTGACCATTGTTGTCAAAGTGACTGTTGCCGTTGTTTGACATATTGGTCAGTTCTGTAGATTTTTTCAATTCCTCTTCTTGCTTCCTCAAGTTCTCTCGAATTTTCTGAAATTTTTTTTCAAATATTTGAATTTAAAATTCTTCAATCACTATTTCATCTCTTGGATTAGTTTTCAAATGGAAAAATGACACCATTTTAGGGTTTATGGCTCAAACTAAGTGCAGGTCAAACGTTTTTATAAGCTCTGCTGCACTGGACAGTAGTAGAAAAACATATCATCAAGGTTAGATTTTTTAATACTGAATCCAATTGTGCAAAGCCAAACAGAGGAGATGTAATGCCGATAGGTACTTACTATGTACATTCAAGTGATCAGTGAGAAACAACTTTTGCGCCACCTCCTTAATGTATGAAGTACAACCGAACATACAAAAAATATAATGATTTTGGCCACATCAAACGTCTTGTATAAAAGGTATTTTTAGGAATATCAGACCTGTTTACCCTCAAACTCCTAAAATCGTACAAAATCGTCTCAAAATCGTACAATACAGTATTTTAATAGTAAATAAATAAATATACATTATATATAATATATAATGTCTACAGTAACTACTGGTATAGCGTGTGTCAGTGGCATCCAGTTCAGCGGTTTGTCAAAAAATGGAACTGTAAGGTAATCAGTATTCGACTGACGTTAACTGCAAACTGCGGTCACTTCATTTTGAAGACCTGCATCTGCTATAGATACCTCCATGTTTGTGACCTCCATAAACGATAGATTTATTTTTATCCCACCCTTTATTTTATTTGTGTATTCCCTATTTCGAAGTGTACTTGTAAGAATTTCATCCAGGAAACCCTGCCGAAAACCTAATATGACATATGCGCCAAGAAACAAAATTATAAGAACCACTGGCGTAGCCCAACGAAATATGCATCACACGGGCGCTGAACACTCATGACTAAAACACAACTGTAACTTCTCTACTACTGCTAGCGAGTTTATTGGTGAAAATACATCTTGACAACATCACCGCAATAATTCCTACAAAACATTGGGTGGTACTGTACAGCATTCGAGATATAAATAGAATGCTATTTTTGGATTTTTCAGAGTTAGGAGATGAATATTGTAGATTTTTTAAATAACGTACGTTCTTTCTGCCGAGGAACAGCCCCCCCCCCCCCACCTGCCATTACGGAAATGTCCCGGTGTCGATTGTTTAGTTTTAAGTATTTACACCCACGCCAAACCCAAAATTTCCTAAATCAACACCACTCCTTTTGTCCCTGATAGATTGTTCATGAAAAGTGCAGTGCGCGCATGATGGACCATTCGACAAAGAACGCAACCCAGTCAATTTTGTCTGATATTCAAGCAAGACTATCTGCTGATAAACTTTCTTTTTCTGTTGTTGAATCGGATGTTTATCGGTAGAAAGAGAAGTTTCTTCTTCATCACCCATTCCGCGAGCCTTTCTTTTTGTCGAGGTCATATCGTAAAATACTAAGTGAGGTCAACTACGGAACCGAAAACAAGAATGATGGCCGATTCCATTAATGATAATGGTAACATTAAAATCACGCAATGTGCACATAGGTCAATGCAGCCAAATTCTAGCGCCAGAGCTGTTTGGACAAACCATATATAACATTTAAAATAAAAATGAAAAAGTGAACAATGATGCATACCTCGCCCCCCAGCCGCACGCCCTGCCAACTTAAAGGGCCATCCAAATATGACTTACTCGCTGAGGATGCGTGTAAGTTTTGAATTGGGTGGGGGGGGGGACCAGAATGCACCTACATGTATGCATAAATTCTACAATAATTATCCTGATTCCTGACAGTCATAGAGCCAACTGTCATATGAAAATAAATCTGTGAAATCCACGAATTCTAATTAGGTCTATTATTATTATTATTAAGGCTATACAAATATCACCACAATGCTTCGCATTTATCGTATACCGTATACTAGTGCTTTGTGTTTTCATAAAGAGGTCGCTGTAGTAGTCATATTGAACACGACATAGTGACAACACACTGTAGTCTACTAACACGTATTTCCGTGCTGGTGACGAACCCACCTTCCCCCACCCTCATTAATAGGAAAAACATAGTGCCCTCGCCTATCCAATATGCCCCTGAGTTTTTACGTTCACATACTAAAGAGCAGTGGTCAGCATACTCATTGGTCAAAAGAGCCCAAATCAGCAGCAGGACCATTAAACAAATTTTGCGAGCCAAATTTATTTTCAAGAACCTGTCAAGGACCATGTTTTTCGGAGTAAAAACCGCTTTGTAGTTGACTGGACGAGCCGCGGCTTGCCGACCACTGCTATAGTATCAGAGACCAATAACTACCACAAGCTGTAAACAAAAGGGGGGGGGGGGCGCAGTAGTAGCAGTAGTGATACAAAACTGTTTTATTGTATTAAAATCGTTGAGGGGATAGAGTCAGAGGCGTAGCGAGGGTGTTTGGCGCCCGGGGACAAGATCCATTTTAAAGTGCCCCTTTTTCTTTTTTTCAACTCTCAAACCCATTATTTTCATCAATAAAATAATATCAAAGCACATTTTGGCGCCCGTAAACAGGGTTTCTTTCAGCTATATCTCCGGAGGGGGGGCACCTCCCCCGGGGAAAGCCAAGTGCCCCCAGGAGCAAAAATATGTCCAACAATAAATCAACTGGAACTGCTGGCTCTGCCCCCCATCCCCCGAAAAATCTGAAGTACCCCTTCCCCGAAAATCTGAAGTACCCCTTCCCCGAAAATCTGAAGTGCTCCCCCCTGGGGAAAATTTCTGAAAGAAACATGCCCCTAACTAGCTGGCGCTCGGGGATTCTGTCCCCCCCCTGCCCCCGCTCGCTACGCCTCTGGATAGAGCTGCTTTGCGAGATCTAAAATATTTTTTTTAATGTCACTGACTAAATCTCACACCTCTAGTTTTCTCTCTTCACAATCCCCGCGGTTCAGACGAACACACGCTTGCTAGCAGTAGCAGTCCAATGAGGTGGTGAGTGAAGTTGTTGCCAGGCGACTAGCCTAAAGATTGCTGCTGACACAGCTAGCTGGTTCACTGTGACACGCAAAGCAACACTAAGACCATCACCACCATCAATAGGATGCGTGGCGGTGATATTTTTATATCTTTTGAAACTCCCACCTTTCCTACCCCCCTTCCCCCCAACCCGTGTTTCTGGTATGCCACCAATCTCTTTAATCAACAACCGCCACCTCCCCTTTCAGTGCGTATATAATATAATGAAGGATGGTCCCAACTATTAAAAAAATATACAAAAACCCATCGTTTTTCTGGGTCCATTCAATGCGGGGCCATAAGGGCTAAAGCTTCCACAACCGAAAATGTTTAATTTTTTTTTTTAAATCGGACAAAATTACACAAATATTTTTTCACCGGGTCTCTGAAAATCGTAGTTTTGGGGAGTCCATTCAATGCGGGGCCATAAGGGCTAAAGCTTCCACAACCGAAAATGTTTAATTTTTTTTTTTAAATCGGACAAAATTACACAAATATTTTTTCACCGGGTCTCTGAAAATCGTAGTTTTGGGGTGTCTCGGCGTACAATCGTAAAAGACATCTAAAAATCGTACATTGTACGCCAAAATCGTAAGAGTAAACAGGTCTGGAATATTGGGCTAATTGTACAATATTATCACAACATGGTACTTACTTCAGCGACCTCAGGAAAAAGTTCACAAAATGTTTTGTTGATGAGATTAAATGCACCACTTTGAGCTGCAAGCTGTCTTTTCTACAATTTTAGGGTGGAACAATGGAAAAGATATACTGGGTATTTGTATTTAAAAAATTGATTATTAATCAGATTAAAATTTTAGATTAAGCCAATTCAAGATTTTATGTTCTGGTCTTTAATCATTTCGATGTTATGTCTAAAGTCTAAAGGGATTTTATGATGACTCAAGTTTTTGTTGTTTTTTTTTTTTAATTAAGTGCAATTCAGTCAAACTGGTCAATGTGCGGTAGGGAAAAATAATAATCTTAGAGGTCAATTAATTTTTTGCCAATTACTTTAATTTAAAAACAAGTCCTATTAATGTTGAAAGAAATCTCTAAAACATAGCTCGATGTGCAGTTGCAAGCTACTATTTTTTTTCTATAAAGATAAGGAGTTCACAATAGCAAAAGTATCTTTGGGATCTCAAAGAATAAGTTTGAAAAGTCGAAAATGTATAAGATCTATATTGAACACAAACTTACTGTATACAAGCTAGTTTCAATGCTTCCTAGGGTTGGACTTTTTTCTAACTGGAATGGAACATGAAAAAAATTTATTATACTGAATGGGATGAATAAAAACGAATAATACACATTAGTTAATTATCTGAATTATGGTTGTTGAATGGGGTGTAGCAAAAAGGGGAAGAGTCCAGGGGGACCTGGGAGGGGATTGGTAGTGTTTGGCATTGGTATTTTGGGAGGGGTTGGATATGGGTCTGGTCTTGAGGGTGATGTCTTTGAGAGGTAGATGTGTGGAGAGGGGTGTGATGATGAGAAAAGATTGGTGGGGCAGGGAAGAATTTGAGATTTGGTGGGAGACAAAAGGGGTGGTGGGTTTGGGAAGTCGGTAGGGGAGGGTTTGATTTGAGGGCAATGGAGGAGAGGGGTGGAACATTTTGTATGTGGATAGCAATATCTCAACAGCCAATCATTTCACACACATGAAAATTTAATCTTTAAAAAACAGAGCCATAATTTTTTATTCTCGAAAATGCACTTTTATTGGTGAAAATATTTTTGTTCCCCTTTGTGCAAAGACAGTTTATGGAAAAGGGCAGATATAATGTAAAGAGATTAATGATATTTGTAAAAAAAAACAAGACGTTACAGATGTGAAAATAAGTAATGAGATTTTTCTTTAGATATAAAAATTTTGTGCTTTACCATTTTCCTATAATATGGTTTATGATCTAGTCAAAAGTTTGCGTAAATGTTTAATGAAGACACCAAAATATCAAAATCTGTTAATGTTTCAGATTTTTTATAAATTCACAACCATTGCTTTTAAGAATCCCATTTTGAAATAGGAAATATATTAAAAATTTGCAAGCTGTTTGCTGCAGTTATGGGGAACTTTATTTTTCCTGCTATTGAAAAAGAGTGTAACATTACGACATTTGCTTATTTTAATATATATGCTGCAAGGCATCAAAAACAAAAATTGCTATAAAGTCTAATCTATGAAATCAGCATATAATTACCATGAAGCTAAGCAGGCCTGTGAGAATTGTGGACACTGACCAAGCTGGATTCCATGTGTCAGGGTGAAAGTCACTTATAGAAAGGCATAACCTGGTGAAAGTAACAGGAACAGATTGTATCAATGTATCAAAACATTCTAAATTCCGAACTGGTGCTATATTGACATTGTTGTTTCTTCAAAAGATGGTTCCATTGATGTAATTTGCAGTCTTCCAGCAGGGAGTGCAATATTAATTTTTTTTATTTAAAGCTAGAAGTACCTCTCAACCCCTCAACGAAATGGTGCATCCAAGTTTAATTTAAACAATAAAAACACATAGCTAATGAAAAGTTGTCTTGGGAACCGACCTAAGTTACCCACATTACTAGTTATGACAGGTTTAAAAAAGATTATCTTGAATTGAATAATCCCCCTTAATAATGATATCAGATGTAACAAAATAAAATTTCTCATGGAGCTCTATGAAAAAAACCAAGGGTGCACTTGACATATAGAGAATTCAAAGTCAAATATCAAATACAAATGAACACATTATTCCTATAGCAGTAAATCCTACTTAATATCCACTAAAACACACATTATCTTAGGCCTGAGCCGGGGGGGGTGGGGGGGGGGGGGGGGGGGGGGGGTTTACCAGGTACTCGGACAGAGTATTTTGAGACTATACCCGGCTGATCCGAGTCAGGGTCTTGATATTACAAGTCAGAAATTATCTATAGCAAACGAGAAATTTGTTCAAAAGTGCAAAATAGAGGAGTACAACCCATAAACACAACAAAAATAAAAAATAAACCAGAGCTGCGATATATCTGTGAGTGCTGCTGGTGGCTGGCTGGTAGTCATTTTCATTTTACTTATACCCTTTGTTGTCGCTCATCCTTCACATGCAAAGATGACCAGGGCTATATTCAAAGTATTCATATTATTTCAATAAACATTTATATCACCATGTGGACGATACCATCCTAGACATCTTTCTGTTTCAAATTCTTTTACTTATTAAATACACGTCAAATTACTATTATTGCATTGAATGACAGTTCTTAGAAATGATCCAGAAACAATAAAATTTGGCTACTCAGTATCATCAGTGGACATGTGAAAGAAAATATTAATTGTAAACACAGCTCAAAGTTGTATGATCTTAACAAAAGATATGCATCTTGCTAAGTTGAATAATCATTCACAATTCCCAACATGTACAATATTAAAAGTGTCAAAGCTTTGCGCTTTCATTTAATGTAAATTTAGTTTCACATCACTGGCAATTATTTTATCTATTATATGTTAATTTATTGCACAGATAAAAAATGTACAAAAATTATGTTTAAAATTGTCCATATAATTTTATTTGTAAGACTTGGGTCCAGTTCCGTTTCATTGGCCAGGTCCAGATATCCATCAGGTGTGTAATACTCTGCATTTCAGAGTATCCGGATCAGACCTACATTAAACAAAGTAATTTCATAGGATCGATATTTGCAGTGTCTGGATGTGTGACCTCTTTTCACATAAGAGTTTAATTAGAACTCTATCCTGCAAGATGTATAATTACCCTCCTATTACTTTTGGATAGTGGATAGTGTACACAGGTCACATATGGTTAATTAATAAAAGAATGATAAAAGCCTTGAGATTTGCTGGCTGGTCTTTCTACCAGCTAATCAGATTGCTTCCTGCATTTCTTTTTCATCTTGCCATTTCAATGGCAGCTTTGATTGATAATTTATGTTTTGTCATTTTATTTCAATTTTTTTGTACCTATTGACCCCCATAAATGCTTAAAAAATATGTGACCTTAAAAATATATCAAAAGACATAAGCAGCCCCAAGGGAATATTTTAAGCAGTTTTTCACATTTAATCTCATTCAAATGTTTGTTAGGACTTATTTAGGCTTCAACAATCATAAAATTTAACAAAATTCTGCAAGCAATACATGTTTACTCTAAGTGTTTAAAAAATTAGATGTATAAATTATGCAAATCAGGATATCTCATGTGTATAAATGTTGAGATTTCAGTTTGATTCATTAAGATCGTATTAGTTCATTCAATTCCTTTCAAGAATCAAAGTAATTGCAGGGCTTGTGAAAAGGGATCCGTCTTTTGGCACAGTCTAAAAGGCTATGTGTCAAGAGGGTTAAAATAATCCGGTCACGGAATGAAAAGGTACCTATAGAGGGACAAAAAAATGGCAGAAAACCAAGAATATTTGAGAGTTAACAATGGTGACAGAAATAAAATGTAATGAAGAAAAAAAAATGTTATGAAAATGTTGGAAAGAATGCAACTCTTCTAACCTCATGTTAATCTTGAATCTTCCATTTGGTGTGAGCATATAAATACTGGGGGGTTTAAACGGAAATTCTCTTGGGAATATCAACTTTCCATGGTATAGTCCACCTGTTAAAAGGTAAATAAAACATTTTACAGGACTTAGGCAGTGACAATGAACTTCACATATGATTTTGTGAGTAATTTGTAAATAAACTGCATCATAAAAAATTATTTTCCCTATCTTATTAAGAGAGTAAGGATATTAAAAAAATTTGAATAAGAATTATCTACCCTTAATGTAATAATCCTCACTAAAATAAAATATGAGAGAAGCTTTGGAAGTGATTTTAGCTCAAAAAGCGGTAGCAAATATTTATATTCTTTCCGGGAGACATCCATTGCAGAAGCCCTCCTGAGAGCTTGTCATCTGCATCCAACCCCCCCCCCCTTTATGCCTGTAGATCTCTTCAAGCAATGGTGTTTGTTACTGCAAGAAGATATATCTTAGGGCCCCTAGTTCTTTACATTTAAAAAAAGTATCAAAACTTTACTTTTAAAACATATGAAGTTTATAATGATGCATACCTTCATAAGGTGAGTTTTCTGGACCTTCAACGATGTAATGCCTGTAATTTTAAAAAAACTTCTGAACCAAATCAGTATTTACAATATAAATTATATTATAATTTAATTGATAAAAAATAATAAAGTTTTCGATTTATTTTTATCATTATACAGAAGAATAAAGAGAATCAAATAAGACTGTCAAGTTCTCAGATTAAAATCAGACCAAGTTTATCTCTTTTTAAAAAATTATATAAATTCCAAAAGAAAATATAAAAAATATAAAAAATATATAAGTTTCAGTTTTTGCTAGATGTGAATAAAAATTTTATGAGTCTGCAACATTACATAAAATTTCAAACTCGGTTTTACCATTCAAGTATATTAGATGGTAATGGAGCAGCTTGAATGTATGGCACTGGGTCTTTCATGATCCTCATATAATCTTGTTTTAGTCTTGCCGTTGCGGTAGAATTGACTTTCTTTGATGACATCTGAAATTATACCAATGTAATATCAATTTAATAACACCAAATACTGAAACAAATCACACATTTAAATGATTGATAGAAGGCAGGGCTTGTGGTGGTTAAAAATGTACCGACAAAAGAACAGCATATGCCATAAATCATCTTAAATAAAGCTGTCAGATAATAAATAAGGTGATTAAATATGACAGATTTATTATAAACAGTGACATGGCTAGATAGTTACATTGCCTCTCCTATCTGACTTAAACTTAAGGTAACATTTTCTCAAATTTCAGAGATCTAGTAAATAATATAATGTAAACTGTAACGGACTATGTTTTCACATGAAAACAGAGAGGTAGCATGAGTGAACAGTTAATTGTGTTGACCATGTTTTTTTCCACGGGGAGAGACAATCAATGGATTGTATTTTGAGATGCAAATGTGAACCCCACGTTTTTGGAGAGTAAAATTATGTTTTTGTCAGAGCGGTTGTTTTCCACGCTTTGCTGGTAATAAAGGATGAGTTGACTGATATAGTCAGAGCTGAGCGCAGAGCAGTAGGGAACAGTAGATTAGACAGTTGAGCTGAGTTATAGTAGTGTGAGGACGTGTCTTTCTGAATGATGGAATAATACTATATATATATGTGAAATTACATTCATGCAAGGATTATCATTAATATTATCAGTATAAAGTGTGTTCAATAAAGTACTGTGAGTTTTAACTAGAATTGAGTATTCTTCTTTACGTGCCTGGATAATAAGTGAAAGAATGAAGAAGACTTAGTCGGCATCCTGAAGTATTAACATAACATAAGTAACCATACTACTGACATAACCCACAGCATAAGAAATAAGATCCCACGCCATGTCAGAGTAGATGTGTTACATAAACCACTCCTACAGCGGCTAAGGCCTAACTCCCATAAATCTACTTTATTTAAATATTCTATTTTCTCAGTACTATACAACAGGGTTATTACATTATTGGGGATTTTAATTGTTTTTTCTCTTTTTCACTATCAATTGATCAGCTGGAAGTATTTAATTAAATGGCTGAACCTAAATAAAAGAAAGAAGACTAAAAAGAGCGGATCTCAACTGATATCGTCATGAGGAATGTTAAATGTGTACATTTTACAAAACTTCACGAGTCATTTTCTAATTTTTTAAATCAGAAGTTATAATTGTTACATTATTTTAAAATGAGCATTTATTTTCAGTAGTAAAGCATTTTCTTACATTGCCTCAGCAGTACAGACTGCGAGAAGTCATTAATTAAGAAGATACAAAGTAGAAAAATCTTTCTTTTTAGAAAAAAAATATTTTAAAGTTAACTTAGTACTATCTTAAGGCCAAAAAAATGTTTTCATTGTCTAGCCTTCAATCAGAAAGTGACTTGACCAGATTTGTCTGCTTAGTACATAAAAAGTAACAAAAGATGACTTAACAATGATTGATGAATGGAAGTTCTTCAGTAAAAAAAAAAAATTATAAAAACAGTACAGTGGTTTAGGACAAACATTTTATTATCAACTGAAACCAACATCAACTTTCTAGCTTTAGTTTTTTTTTCTTCAGTGATGCATTTTTAAAATGAGGGTTCATTTTTACCCTTTCATTATGGACTCAACCTCCACATTTTGTGAACCGATCCTGTTTTTTCTTTAGGTGTTGTTATTTATAACAAAATTAATTAAAATATTAAAATTAATTATTTAACCCACGAACTGTGGCATGCATCATTCTGTGGTGTGGAGATTCTCAGAGCGTTTTGAGTGCCATTTGACATTGCATTAAATGACATAGAAATATTGATACAAGACCCCAATAAGTATATATTTTTAGAAAGGTAATTTGATGGGGATAAAGTTGGCCATATTGCCCACCCGGTAAAAAAAAAATTTCTCAGTGTCCTTGACCTTGGAGTTCTAAAGGAAAAAGAATCAACATAATGTCTTGCTTTTAAGTGCTCATAACATCATTAATTTTTATTGATAACACTTAAAACACAAATCTAAATGTTGTAGCCAATTCATTTATCTTTCAGAAAATGTATAGTTTGCTAAGGTTTTGATGCAATTAAACCTATGAAAGCAATTTTAGTAATTTTAGGTCATTTATTTAAGAAACTGGGACCACTGCTAAAACCCAAGTACAAAATTTAAAATCTAAGGCTAAATAGTTATTATTAACTAGTAAACATTTTTACTAAAAAGGAACTGTGGAACTGATTTGGGTTTTTAATATAAAATTTGTTAGTTATGAACTATAATCTGTAGCTTCTGTGACTAAAATTCAGTTAGTCCTTGCCTAACCTCCAGGCCGGGCTCGAAGTCTAACAGTGGCCTCAGTAGGCCTTCTTCAGTAACACTAAGACTAGTATAAAATTCACGAGAAGAATGATCTCAACTGATATCGTCATGAGGAATGTTAAAATCATCATCAGTATCACTTAAAACCTCTCCTAAAAAGCTTTCAAACATATTTCTATTAGCTCTTGCACTGAAGGCCCAGCCATAGCTTCCACCATTTTAGCTTTAAAAAAAAAACAGTGATATAAAACTCCGATTAAAAAGTATTTATTTTCAAGTTATCACGAAACAGCTTGAACCGGAAGATGATTTAATTATTAATAAAAGGAAGTGGCTATAATTTCAGTAAATATTGGATTAGAAGTTGCTACTAGACTGTGTTTTTTATTAGCCGATTTTTTCGGCCGCCATAGTACAGAACGAGAAAGTCTGCCGATTTTTTCGGCCGACCACAGTTCGTGGGTTAACACTTGTTAATTGATGTTTTTGTTTTAAAATATTACAAAAATTGTTGCTTCTTTAAAAATAATTTAAAATAATATTTCTTGATAACAGTTACGTTGAATAGTCCAGTTTCCATATACAGCTGTGGGGAACCTGTGATAAAACCAAGCCGTCCTTCAAATTTTAATTTATTTCAACCACCTTCTTAGAACGCATCCCCCATCCCTTTTTTGAGTTCAGGACAAATTATTCCGTTGATTGTTGTTATTCATGTGGTTCGCTCACCAACATTTTGACCAGCGGATTGAACTATGCAGTAGAAACACCCCCCCCCCCCCCCCCTCCCCCCCCCCCCCACAGGGCGTACCCTTAAGGTGGGTTAGGTGACTGAGCTACATGTAATATAATAATATAAGCTTGCATCAACCATGCTCCTACACCCCCCCCACCCCCAACACACACACACACTTTTTGCCACGGTTAAGCTGTTGTTACTCCGTAGAGAGTTTCTTAAATTTTAATTTCATACGTCTCAGACTGCACATGATAGAGATTTAGCCAATGACCAATTATAGTAAATCCACTATAAATACTGAGGTAAATAGTAGAAACGTTCTTTAAGATCGTCACACCAAGTTATCACAGTTAACTTACAGCACTTCTGAAGCTGGCCATTTCTAAACCTAGTGAGTTGATTTAATATTTCCATTGTTTTGTTTTCCTTTTATTTGGATGCATTGTATTACCATGTATTTACATTCATCCCAATAAGAATGAATTTATTCAAATTTTATATTTTAAATTCGCTCTATGTTCAACATGCGTCTCCAAACTGGGACTCGTGTTGGCCCTTTTGAGATTGACTTATCTAGACTTCATCCCATCTTAAGGATGGTGATGTAGCCACTGAAACTTTGTTATCCAACAATTGTTTGAATATAGCATATTAAAACATGCTTTATATTTATGATAATTCATTGCATAGTTACAGATCTGTTTACCCTCCAACTCAAAATCGTACAATATCATCTCAAAATCGTACAATGCAGTATCTTAGTAATAGATACTTTGGTCAAAAATGTAAACATTTTTTAAAAATAAACCAATGGCACAGTTGAATAGAGCTAATTTTAAACATAATTATAACACCAAAATCATATTTTTAGCTGTTGTAGTTTTAAAGTTATGAATTTTTAAAGTACGACTTGGTTTGTCATTTTTTAACATAGACTGCATCTCCACATTCTGTGACCTCATTCCACTGATCGCGTCATGCGCAATGACTATATAGTTTATATAAGGCAAAGCATTCCCTTATCACTAAAATACTGTTTAGGGTCGACTTATTTTAAACTTTCAACTTTGGCACATGAATAATTAATAAAAGCTTTCCCTGACCAATGGTTTAATAGCTTTTGCACACGGCAAACTCTTATGAATGAAACTCTGAGATAGTACTACGACGTAGCCGTTATGCAAGTGGCTGTGAATGGTTGCCAATGACAACGTGTTGCACAGGGAAAATTCTGATCATTTATAATATGGACTCTGCAGGGTTTTTAAAGCTCAAATTAAAACATTTCCAGTTTAAATGTCTTCAAAATGCATTCTGAAACACAAAATATAAAATATTTTGATGTATATAGTGGTAATAATTAAATATTTCCTAAGTATCGACAACTTCCGCCATTAAAAAGGGGGCGTGGCCCAAGCCATGTCGAAATTAGGCTGAGCCACCTAATGGTGATATGGGTCACTGTGACAAGTGTAACAAACGTGGGACACGACCTACATCAATGAAACTTGGCACAGATATAGATCAATATCTAATGCTCATACAGATTTAATCAAAAAGGACCTTATCTTATTATTTCACAAAAAATTTTGTATGCGAAGATGCCTTATATATACCAAAGATTTTCAAAATAAAGGTCGATTGAAAAAAGCAAAATAGCTGGCTAGAAATGTAGGCCAAGATGTCTTCCAAATTATAAGGCCGGAAACGGAACTCAAATATATGTGGAAAGAACTAATTTAATAATAAATAGACACACACATCGGAAAATTAAAAACTCGGATTTTTCGGCGCCGACGCCCATTTCCGATACAAAAAAAATAGTAGTCTCCCTTCTTTCATCGAAGTATCTACTTAGTAGTAAATAAAAATAAACATACAGTATATATAATGTATAAAATAACTACTCGCATCACATGTCTAGAGGGATCGAGTTAAGCTGGCATCAAAAAAAGGTATGAGATTTCCACTAATGGTTGATTACCCATTTTGGTTTGAGCTTGAAATTCAAGTTGAATCAGCTGGAACATATGATGAGACCTAACCTTATTAATATTAATACTAATAATTTAACAATATTAGTATTTAGTATTAGAACTCTTTGTGATTGTGTCTTGAAACTGTGGGCAAGGTCTGGAAGCAAATTATTAGGAACAAAATGTGTAGTTGTGCCGGACTTGATTACTTAGACTACTAAAGATTAGTAGTTTTAACTAACTTTTAACTAATAATACTAGTATTTCTTATTACTAGTGTAGTCTGATTCGATAATAGTGGTAAGTGTACAAATTAATTTTCTTAAGGCGTTTTCATACTCTGAATAACATTGAACAATAAACATGACTATAGACTGATATATTTGTACAGATAAGACTCATACTAACTCTGAAAGTACGCAGGTAAAGTTCGTAGTGTTTTCAAGTTATTTTGTCGTCGCTGACGACATCCGGAAGTTGTTTCTACTACAATCCATAACATGACAATAAAAAATGTGAACAGGAAAAGTTTAATGTTTGATTAAAGGAAACGATTTAAATCAGCCCAACCCTACAAAAAATAATAATAATATATTTTTGGGGGGTTTAAATTAAAAAATCAAATATATGTCAGTTATTATCAGATAATAACAAATTTACTATCTAACATAAAGGAATAGCATGAGACACAGTATAGCCTGCTCCAATGGTATTTAAAAACGTAATTTAAGTGATATAATAAATGTTTGTTTATTTTATATCTACATTATTCTACAGTGGCGAACCTTGTAGGGGAGGGTGGCACCTTGACTTTGAGGGGTTTTGGGGGCATCCATTAATTACGTCAACAGCTTTTAAGCAATTTGTGACCCCCTCCCTCCTTGTCAAAAACTGTCAAACTTTCAGTGCCCCCCCCCCCCTTCCAGTAATTATGTCAACAACCCTAAGACACTCCCCCACTCCCCAAAAAAATAAAAAAAAATAAAAAAAATAAAAAATTACAAGTTGTTCATGGGAAGATAAAGAATGTGATGACACAGATTTGCCGAAATAAAATTCCCGATGACTGTGCTAAATGAGATTATTATTTATGTATTTTTTTTTAATAACGCAATTCTGTTTGGTGCGTAATAATTTCTTTTGTTTTTCTGAAATCTTTGGTGAAATAAATCTGCTTTGTAACAGCGGTAGCTCATTAGAATATTAATATAGTTCGGGGGCGTGAAAAAAAGATTTGCGGTTGCGAGCCTTGAGGCTGGGGGGGGGGGGGGGCGCTAAATTAGGTTGTTTTTTTTTTTTTTTTTAAATTGCGTTACTTGTATGCATGTTTTTAAACATTTGTAGCCCCATCCCTCATTGCTCTAGATCATATTTTATAAAGGATTTATACGAAAAAAAAAAAAAAAAATTTTTTGTTTTTGTTTTCTCAGTGCGATGCCACCAGGAAAAGTGAAGGGGCTCTCGTTTATTAAAATTGGTTTAAAAAATCGCCAAATCATTTTAATGACGCAGTATTACACAATTTATAATAATAATAATAATAATAAGACGTCTTATATAGCGCGGTACCCCAGCCTAGGGCTGGGCTCACCGCGATGTACATACAAATTTTATCATTTTATTAAGATTTTAAAAGATATTTTAAAAAATATATATTAAAAAATTATGAATGTACAATATATTTTGTAATACACTGAATGATTAATAGGCTACTAATTAAGCCTAAATATCCCCAAGTAAACCCCTTATCAAAGAAGTAGTATTATTGATATCACACTTACTTACATGCTCACATTTACCCAAATACTGCAGCATCGCAATGAAAAATTTGCAATTTTGACAGAGCGTAGTAATAATATTCAAAAACGGTGCCACCCGAAAAGGTGCCACCTAAACAGGTTGGGTTGCCACCAAATGCATCTGTTGCCTTTTCAATAAGATCAAATGAGCACCTGGAGCCCTGGGACGCACAGGGTGGGTCATGTGTGGCCGTTTGGCTGCCTCTAGTATCTGGTGTGCGTGACTCTTAGTGCAGAGTTCCCAGTGGTAAGAATGACAATCGTAAAACTCGACACAGACTCGCACCTAGTGGGGTTGGGGGTGCACAACCATGGCACTTATCAGGGGCCCGAGCTAGATAGGGGCCCGCCCCTTTTCAAGTTTTTAAAATATACGCACATGTTTGAAAAACGAAAGGGACCCGAACTCTGTCAGCTGCATGGGGCCCAGAATTTCCTAGGTGCGGGCTTGCTCGACATACGGAAGAAGGTCGTAACACGTGTCGTATTTACATTTCTAAATCTTTTATTATTATTATTATTATTTAATTTGAAATAACTCCTTGCTTCAAGTTGGCTAGCAAATATTTCGTGGTGGATTCGAAACTATAATTTGCGACATGTCTCACTGGGAAATTGCGTCGGTGGGCCGTCGAGCGCAAGATCATATTGACCCCCCCCCCGGCACACACCCCCCACCCACACGGGCCAAACGCCGGGTTTCCCCTAGCCTGGGGGACGTCCGGTCGACCAAAAACACTACGTTTAAAGCATTCGCACCCGGGTTTACTTCCACTCCGGAGGGATTTAAAGCATTCGCCCCCGGATTTACTTCCCCTCCGGGGGGAAGTTGTTGCGTTACCCACACCCCCCCCCCCCCACCGCCCAGGGAGTCTTACTGTCGGGACGGAAAGCTGGGACGAAACGGTCGCCTAGGAGTGGTTTTCTCACGGCCGCGTAGCTAAAATTATCGGCATGGGTTTTAACCGCCAAACAAACCTCATATCCATCAACGGCAACAAGTAATCATGTTCCAACGTTACTATAACTCCCATTGCGTTGGGACTCATGCGGTCGGCCGGTGTTTTCGCTTCGGGAGAACAGTACCTCCCTACTAGTCCGCCACGAAGAGGCAAACCTCATGTATGCCCCCAAGTTCCCTTGGAGGCGCTCCACTTGCGCAGACGGATTTGCGACATGTAAAGAATGCGGAACTCATATAAAGTTAGAGTTGAAAGATTTTTCTCTACACGTGGTCATTACAGACGTTTGCTTAACAAACCTAGTGTTAGTCTAGTTCTCTTTTACCGGGGCTAAGCGGGAAAATGAAGCAAATAGTAGCTAGTGTTCAACCTCTCGTCGTCTTTCATTTATTAATACTATTAATAATAGACGATAACAATATTAAAAGAAAATATAAAACAAACTCTTGTATAATTAAATTAATTTTATCCCGGGATAAGAGTGACTTAAGGAAGATTAAAAAAACGAAAAGAATGAATTCAAAGCTAAACCTCAAATTTTTAAGAGCTAGAATACAGAATTAATTTAAATTAAATTATTTAAGTACTGGAGAGGTGGGCGAATATCTTGAGGGTGTAGTACATGCAAACAATTGACAAGATGGATATTATGAGGCGCCGCGTGGAGTCCCGGGCTCTTTAAATTAAATTATCCATCGTTGGAAGATGAATATGGATGGAGAATATGAACTAACTAGTATTTGTATAGATTAGTGGTCGGTAAAATCGAGGCTCGGCCATTTAGCCACAAATCGGTTTTGACTCCGAAAAACATGGTTTTTGACAGGTTCTTGAAAAGAAATTTGGTTCTCAGAATTGTTTTTATCGCCCTGCTGCTGATTTTTGGCTCTTTTGACTAATGAGTTTGCCGACCACTGGTATAGACTATATCATGATCCCACGCTTGTAGCATAAATAAAAAAGGGCGGGCTGCGCTAGGCGCGACACTTTTACTTAGAAAGAATGACAAGGGAGAGAAGAGAGTGCATCACCAAAACCCCAAGGAAAAACGGTTCCGAGGCAGACTTAGATGGATATACGATGTGGAAACAGATTTACAGCAGCTGGGAATCCAAGCATGAAAAGAAAAGCATTGGGTAAGGGGCCTTCCATAAAGTACCTCACGCTTCAGAGGGGGGAGGGGGTGTAAGAAAGTATGACAGTTTGTGACAGGGGGTTGTCAGGCCATGTGTGACGTCACACATTTATTTTTTTTTTAAATTTTATTTCTAATTTATTTTTTTATTTTTTTTTTTTGTAGAATTTAATAGCTTTAAAAATAATTTTCCAAAAATTTGTGAAACATTTGAATTAGTTTTATGTAAAAATAGCATGAAATGCGTATCTCCTGAATGTGTTGTTCACGATTCCTCTCACTAGGAGCGCTAGTAACTATTCTACTATTAAAGTCATTTTAATAATGCGATAGTTCTTTTAAGTGGAATTTTTAAAAATTTAATACAGTTTAATAATGAAGTATGCTTTAGATTAAATTTATAATTAGGTGTTAATTAAAGAAAATTTTTGTTCGAAAGTGTGACGTACTTTGGGGGGGGGGGGGGTTCCGAGATTTGTGACAGGGGGAAGAGGGGATTAAAAAATGGTCAAAAATAGCGTGACGTACTTTATGGACGGCCCCTAGGTCTGAGTAGAAGGAAGTAGTGAGGCAGACCAAAGCCCTAAAAGTAAAAGGGCCGTAGCGCCACAGGGATCACCGTCATTATACTGAGAAAATTAGTACTGAGTAGAACTGGTGATGCAATTGCCCACGTTTACCACCTGACCACGAGAGGCGAAATGGGGCTTTTCGGCGTCCTGAGCGACCTCTTAATCTTACCCCCCGTACCGACAGCATAAATAATTCCTTTAAAAATTGCACCCCAAAGTTGTTTTGCTGCCATTCTGCAGGGGTCGCTTCCCATGTCGCCCACCCACTGTTTTATGTTATGAGGTGGTATGAAGGACAAAAGTCGAAATGCTTTGACAGGCGTGATTAATTATGCCGAAAAAAAGCAGAAGATCGGAGTTTGAAAAGTAGGCGAACTTGGGTGGAACGAAAACTTATTGACCGGGGAAAAGATGATCACAGTTTATATTATAATGTAATGTCTCTGACACAAGGTGCACTAATTTTATATCCATGAAATAGAAATCATTTAAAGTTTGTAAACGAAGAGGATTAATAAAAAAAAGTAGTGGACAGTGTGAATTTCTCTACACGGGCCTTTGACTTTAGACAGGAAACGGAATCACATTTACACTTTATTGGTTATCTTATAAAATATATTTCTTGTTAAATTTTTTTTTTTTTAAATCAATAATTTCTAATGAATGAAGATGTTTTTAATTTTGCCAATGACAATTGTTTGTGGATTAGAAAACTGCAGCAGAAAATATGTTATAAAAATATAAAATTGGTCATATCAGTAGTATCCGATTGCAGAGCAATATTAAAGTTTAATTTTGAACGNGGTTGATTTAGTTTGAGTGAGGCCGTGGTGTTAAGTGGATGATTCAAGCGGGGTGGGGGTGCGGTTGGGGAGGGAGGGGGTCTAAATTTTTTGTAACGATTTTTGACGATGGTGGGTTGAGTAAAAATAACTTAACGTCATTTATGGACTGCCTCTGGTTGTTAAATATGCAACTAGCTGACAAGTCAGGCTAGCGCAAGATATCCGGGAATATCCCTACTAGCCTACTGCCTACTG